CTAGCTATGTGTGAGTGAACTGATAGATAGATAGATAGATAGATAGATAGATAGATAGATAGATAGATATGAACAAACTGAGATAGATAGATAGATAGATAGATAGATAGATAGATAGATAGATAGATAGATAGATAGGGAGAGACAGAGAAAGAGGGAAAGGCAGATGAAAAGGAGAGAGATGTCCATGTACTGGTTGGAATTCCCTGTCAATGATTCGCCACTGGCTCTGTCTTTCAGGCAATCCTGAAATAGAATGATGTCCTGGTGATGCATGGTCTGTCATCTAGAATGGCCATTGCATTAAGACAGATAGGATTACTGGTATATCCTTTCGGCGACAATGACATCCGAAAAAAATGGATTATATTTAAGTGAAGCCCCTTAATTTACGATCTGGTTTCGTATGCCGTATGCATAGATGGATTTTTCCACATTAAAACCACAAGACCATGTGGTACATTCTGGTTCCTCGTAGTATCCGATAGATGGGTAAATAAAATATGGTGGGTAAAACACAGATTGGCATAGATGAGGAGAAACGGTTGCATACTCATTGGAATGTAAAAATAGACTGTGATAAAAGGTTGCAACTAGACCGCAATACATTGCTATGAATAGATAGATTATGAAAACTAGGTAACGATTGATAGATAGATAGATAGATAGATAGATAGATAGATAGATAGATAGATAGATAGATATGAATAGAATGAGATAGATATATACAAAAGAACAGATACAAACAGACTTAGATAGATAGATAGATAGATAGATAGATAGATAGATAGATAGATAGATACGAACAGACTGAGATAGATAGATAGATGATACATACATACATACATACATACATACATACATACGAACATCTCGATACGAACAGAATGGGATAGATAGATAGATAGATAGATAGATATGTACGTACATACATAGGAATAGATAGATACGAACAGAATGAGATAGATAAATCGATAGATAGACAGACAGACAGAAACAGATTAAAATAGATAGATAGATAGATAGATATGAACTTACTTAGATATAAATTGATATGAACACGATTGAGATAGAGATGAATAGAAACAGACTAAAATGGGTACATATGAAGAGACTTAGGTAAATATTAACCGACTGATATATATATATATATATATATATATATATATATATATATATATATATATATATATATATATATACACACATATATATATATATATATATATGTGTGTGTGTGTGTGTGTGTAACGAAAGAAACTAAAGTGTTAATTTGTGTATTTTCAAGTCTGTTTTACCTGTTTGGTGTCTAACTCAGCAAGTCATTTTTCTGCCTTGACACATCTCTCGCAACATACAGCGTTTAAACGAAAACATTTTCTTCATTAATAAAAAAAAGAAAGAAACGAATCCATTTCTTGACAGACTTTAAATCTACTGAAATTCTTTTCTTCCTGATTTACAGAATCCTCATATCTGTTTAGCGTTTTCTTTTTATCGGACTCAATAAAAAAAAGAAAGTGAAAATGAAAAAGAGAGAAAATGAAAAAAGAAAAGGAGAAAGAGAAAAGACCAGCATTGGTAGGTAGCGTCACATATCCGGTGACGTCACTTAAGGACATTAATGTCATGACATCATCAACGCTTCGAATCCTCTCGTAACTTTCCTTTGTTCTCAGTTGCAAAAACAACTCAGCGGTAGATCATAGGGCTGTAGGTTTAGTATTTCCAAAGTTCTAATTATTTACACATATTTCGATAGTTAAGAATATCAACCTGGAGTAATTTTAGGACATTTTATTTGGTAAACAATTCCTACGCAAAAAAAAGTAGTTCAAAGAAACGTTTGCGGTAACATTTAATTTATATCGGACACAGCAATGACAGACGACACAAGCCGAGTTTAAAAACAGACGATAAATTTGTTAACACACAAAAATGAATGAATTGCATAAATTAATTTCACTGTATGCCAAGTGACGGCCCATAACATGTCTGCAAATTATCAATGAAAATGAAATGTGTCTTTTTACAAATAAAATAATAATGCTGCATAAGGTCCTCAGAAATTAAATCTAAAATGGAGAAAAGGAGAAAAGACCTCTCTGAATAGTTTTCAATGAATTGGTGTAGCGGACTCCGACCACATTTATTTAATTTTGTTTACGAAACCAAACTGATGTGAAAAAAGGGACAAGGCAAAATTATCAATATATATATAAAATTGTATTCAACAATGCATACAATAAAGAATGTGTACGAAAAAGCATACAATGAGTAAGGCAAGAGTTGTCTCTCTTTGATTATCTAAGTCTATTAAAGTTCTCTGAAAGAAAAGAATGAATTATTAGTCTGTTATAAATGTTTTTAAACAGTTCTGCCGTGCAAGAGGAAAAATATATAAGTGTGAAAGAATATGCAGTTTGTGAGTTGAGTGAGAAGATGGGCGCATAGCTTCAACTATCGTGGATTTCTGTGACAGCTAAATCTCACTGGTGCGTATCTTCTTTTCTTTTGCTTTTATAGGTGGTCATTGTAACAGGAGTGCTGCGCGGGAAGAATCATTCTCCACATACAGAGAATCTGATTGGTCGATACTGACCAATCAGTGCATGAGCTTTGGAGACACATCTGGGAGCTGATTCTCCCAAAAGTGCACAAAATCTACTATATGAAATTATAGCGATATTAAAATTGTCGCCAAAGATAGCAGCGTTGCTTCCTGTCCTTTGAATGAATGCTGGTGAAGATTTGAATTTGTGAGGATTTATGCGTGTGTGATGATCGCCATATTGGTACAATTTTCGAAGCAAAGTTCGTGGTAACAATGAAAAATAGAACAAGCACACCAGCGGATGACTTTTTCTTGGTGTGGGACCAACTTTGATGTTTCTTTCACTTCTCGTCTGTTGGTCGGCAAATTTCTTGTGCGTTGTTTTTTTCTTTCTGGGCCGGGGCGAATTTCGGCAACAGCTGTTCGTCGACTTCGAAATTTAAATCCAAGGCCTCCTTAAATAACCTACAGGCAGGCTCTAAATACACTTCTCGGAATTCGGAGAGAAATCCTTTTATTGGTTTTGGATGAAAAAGAAACGCAGCCTGTTTGCCCACAATTAAGAAATTAACCAAGAGCGTTTGATTTCTCTCTGAAAAGCAGACGATACGCGCTCAAACTGATTGAATTTCTCATAGAATAGGCAACTGAGGTCACCTTTAACATTATGGTGCAATGAATTCGATCCTCAGTGTGTGTCCCACACTTGAGGCCCTCTGTTACATTTATCTAACTTTAGTAAATACTTTTTCAGACTTAGTAAACTTCGATCTAAATGTCTAACACACGCGCAATGCATCTCAGAAGTTCAACACGTTATTTGCAACGAAGCGCTCTGTCATTCAAAAGAAGAACTCCAACATTCTATGAACAACTTTGGTATTGTGGCGGACTTTACCACATTAATTTAACTTCAGATTAGAAAACAAAACTGGCGTGAAAAAGGATAAGCAAAAGACACCATTAAACATAAATTAAGTATTTAACAAGATGTACAACGATGTTAAAGAAAGCATCCATTTAAGTAAGAAAAGGTTGAATAAAACAAGAGTTGTCTCTCTTTAACTATTATTTATAGCTCAACGTTCACTGAAAGAAAGTTTATGAGAGGTTCTTGTGATAAATGTTCTCAGCAGATTTGCTGTGTAAGAAAAAGTTATGTGAGTGTAAGGAATGTTCAGCATGTGAGCGGTGGTATGAGTGAGAAGGTTGGCGCGTGGATTCAACTGTCGTGTATTCGTTTGGCAGCTGAATTCTCACTAATTAGCTATAAATATTTCTTGCTTATGTAGGTGACCATAGGATCCAAATCGCTTCACGGGAAGGGTTATTCTTTACGTGCAAACGATCTGATTGGTTGGCATTGACCAATCAGCGAGAGAGCTTTGGAGAGACTTAAGAATGGTTCTGGGATCCGTTTCTCCCAAAAGTGTACAAAATTGACTACATGAAAATAGAGCGATTACAAAATTGTCGCATTGCTGCGATTTTTAAATTGTCTATAACAACGTAGTGGTGATTTATTAACCAATAAATGCTTGTCGTATGTGATTTGCATTTGTGTATGTACGTATGTCTGTGTGATACAAATCGGCACAGTATAGCCTACCACTGTTTTGGCCTTACGGTATACTTCAAGAAAATCAAACGAGCCGCAAATATAAAAGAATTTAATATTACTATCTCTGATACACCTCTCGAATAAGTAGAACATTTTTTTTCATATCTAGTAAACCTAAGAAAAGGATGTGGAACAGAACTGGAGCTAAATACGGGGCATTTGGAACGCTAATCAAATGCGTCTTAAACAACAAGATTTGAACTTAGCAACAAAAATAATGGTTTATAATTCTTTTGCCATTTCAACTTTGCTATATAGGTGCGAAACCTGGATCTCAATATCGTCGCGACATCCAAAAATTAGAACGCTTTCACCAACAAAAGCTTCGTTCAACTTTGAACATCGATGTGACCAACACCAAAGTTCAGAAAAGAGACAACAGTCAAAGCATCGAATCGCTGATCATGAAACTTAATTAATAGTTCTAATACCAGATGGAAATAAGCCAGGAAAATTTTTTTTTTCTCAGAGTGTAATGCGTAGCACTTAAAAACTATAACGGCCATTCGCAATTTCGAAAACAATCTAATTCACTAGCCTTGTACCAGACGGGTTAAACGGGAAAATATTTTTATCTCAGCGAACAATATGTAACACATGCAAATATTTATTCGAACTTTCGATTCAAACTTTAATCCAGGGACCTTGTGTCGGACAAGGATAAACAAAGTAAACTGGCTTTTCTCAGAGAGCAATATGAAGCACTTCAAACTCATCTTCTTTTTCTGTGCCGTGTTTTTTCAGGACATAGACGATCATGGCTCTCCACAATCTCATGATCTTTGCAGCACAATAAATTTTCTGTTTTCTCCATCTTCCCCAAACAAGTGGCAACCGTTAACACAAGTACATGTTACTGTTTCCTCTCGTGTGATGGCCGATAAATATAATACACAACGTTTAAAATAAAAAGGTATCCCTAAAAATAGCATTTTCAGTAATATATATATATATATATATATATATATATATATATATAGTTAACTCCACCGCAAAAGTGATACGTAAGGCTTAAAGTATTTCTTGAAGCTTTTATTTTAGTTTTATTTTTAAGCAAATAGATTGAATTTGATATTTCCAATAAGCAAAATAGTTTTCAGTACTTCAAACAGAATTTAGATTGCTTGGAATTTTTTTTTTCCATTGATTGTCATTAAAATCGTCCATATTGACAAATCTGTCAACACAAAATTATCTTTATTAAAATATCGTTAAAAATGAGTTTTTTCTGATATTTATTTGAAGAAGATTAACTGATTTAATGTGTAATTATTCTAAATTTAAACAAATATTACTTACATTCAGTTTAAAATATCTAAGAAAAGCATTTTTAACACAGAGTTGGGTGTTTTTATGAGGTGTCGGCACATTTATCAACAGCCTGATAATTGGTTTATTTATCTAAGGTGGAAATATTCTTAATGAATTTATATGATGAATACAACGTAAACATTTTAGAATATAATTTTAAATATTTTAAGCATCCTAATATTTTATTGAATTTTAGTCACTTTGCCCCGGATTTAGCTCCAATTCTGTTCCACATAGGTTTACTTACGAAAACGCTTGTTGAGGAAATGTTAGAAAATTACCAATGCATTTTGAATTAACTATAGTTCCCAAGTAGGCATCTATGCGGACGACACTACCATTTACTCCTGCCTCAGAAACAAATCTAGTGTCGTCGACAAAACTGACCTGACAGTTTATCTCGAAAAGGACCTCCAGTCGGTTGTGGACTGGGGCAGGAATTGGCTGGTTAACTTTAATGCCACAAAACCAAAACTGGTCTCTATTACTCACCAGAGAGAACCATCCTTGCCTCCCGTTAGAATGTCTGACGCTCAACTCCACGAGAGCTCGGTCTCACATTGATTGCTGACCTGAGATGGAACGAATACATTGAGTCAATAGCTTCGTCCACCGCAAGGAAAGTTGGCTCCCTGTGCCGCGCCAGGAATTTTTTCTCACCGAAGTATTGTTGCCATATATGGTCTGGTGCCCCTTATGTTTGTTTCAAGGTCCTGGATAAAATCCAGAGACGAATATGCAATTTAATTGGCCCTGATCTGGCATCTCGCCTGCAGTCGCTCTCTCACAGACATGCCGTTGTCTCCCTCTGTCTTTTTTACAAATACTTTCACGATAACTGCTCCGATGAGTTGCTTTCACTGGTTCCCAGACTTCATGAATTTAAGCGTTAAACTAGGCTGGCATCTCGCTCTCACCCTTTCACTGTCGAAACTGTTAAATGTAGCCGTCTCTTCTACTCCAATAGCTTCATGTCTCGCACTTCTCGCTTGTGAAACTCCCTCCTCAGTTCTTGTTTCCGTGATAGCTATAATCTTCAACTATTCAAATGTAATGTCAATCGACGTATCCAGATGCCCTGACCTATCCCCTAACCTTCTCTTCATCCTTTCCCCTATCACTCCTCTTTGCTCTAG